TCAGTGAATTGTAAGGCATCTTCATCCACAAAATGAAAAGACACAAGGAAACAATTCCTGTCCTCGAGACCCCCAGGGAACTGTAATAACCATTCTCTCACAAAACTTCATTACCACAAGGTTGGTCACCCAGAATGTGGGAGCTAGAAAATACCCATGTACATTTATTCCTGACAAGTGTAATAATGTAATTTCAAAACAATATGATACAGATCTCACAGTTGTATGTGAAAAGATTTCATTTGAGCCTCAAACGAAAGAGCCTTTGGGTCTCTATAGTTTAGAGGAGATTGAGGGGTGACCTTATTAGTGCATATAAATATATAAAGGGGGAGTGTCATGAGGATGGAGCCAGGCTCTTCTCAGTGGCAAACAATGAAAGGACAAGGGGCAATGGGTACAAACTGGAACACAAGAGGTTCCACTTAAACTTGAGAAGAAACTTCTTCTCAGTGAGGGTGACAGAACACTGGAACAGGCTGCCCAGGGAGGTTGTGGAATCTCCTTCTTTGGAGACATTCAAGACCCGCCTGGACACGTTCCTGTGTAACCTTATCTAGGTGTTCCTGCTCCGGCAGGGGGATTGGACTAGATGATCCTTTGAGGTCCCTTCCAATCTCTAACATACTGTGATACTGTGAAATCAACTAAATCTCTGGGAGTACCATCAGTCACACAAGACCCTACACCTACCTTTGGAGCTTGCTCTGAGCTATGCTGAAGCACAGTGTACAGGATCTGCATATTGTTGGGATTTCTTGCATTTGACAGTTCGTTGAAAATCACAAACTTGATTGTGGTGCCCAGGTTATCCCTGTGTGCATTCAGCAGCTCTCTACAAGGGAAGACCAGAGGTATCAGAGTTGATACTTCATTGCAGCCAGAGCCACTGTTTCGATTTCTCTTTGAAGTATTTAGCACATCAAAGTGAAAAGGATGGAGCAGCACGCATGTCCAGCAATATTAAAGGATCACAAAGATTTCCAGGCCATTGAAATCCATGTAAATGTCACACACAACACCCTACGGTCCAAGCTGGTATTTAAAACCACTCTGCAGAGACACTGCATCCATCAGGGCCCTGGGCACGTCTTCCAGAGTGCTTCCCTTCCTGTCACAGCCCCAGTCACTCACCTGACACACAGCATGTAGTGGTTGAGAAGGACTTTTGGCTTGAGACGAATTTTGATCAGGTTGGAGATAACATCCATATCCTCTGAGCTGTGGGTGTTGCAGTTCATACAGACTGACATCAGCAAGTCCTGAGCTGGCTTGGTCAGCTGCAAAGGAAGAGCAGAAAGGCTATTGTCACTTACCATCACAGCTCAGAAACTTATGCAGTGTACAGTATGGGACCCTCCTGGCTGGATTCCAGACCAGGTCCAGAAGAGTTGTGCTGCTTCGACAGCTTCTATCCTTACCTTTGGATTCTGCAGCCACATCTCCAGCCTCTGCACAGCCGTCTGCCGCACCTCTTTGTAGCCACAGGTTGCTGTTAGCAGTCGAAGGAGGTTCCTGGAGACATTGTCCATTGGCTGGCGCCGGTTGAGTTGGTCCCGCAGCATGTCTAGGACATATTCCTCCACACTCTCCGCAAGGTCTTCATACCTGGGCCACACAAACTGCATTTATTCACTTCCACACAAGTCAATGCAATCGCACTTTGCTGTGTTCAGAGATCAGCATCCTTTCTTGTTTACGGCACACATCACAAACAAAGCCTACTGTTTTCTCCTACAACCAGTTTTATCTGATGCTCAACATCCTCTAGCAAGTGCCACAGGACAGATAGTGCAGAGGAGCTCCCTGCTGCAGCACTGCAGGAGTGGGTGAGCACAGACAGATCTGCCACACAGCTACATCAGAAGAGCAAGAAGCACTGTACCTGGGCATGAGCTGGCCTGCCTGCTCTGGGCTCATTTTCTCCTCTGCAATCAGCAGCTCACTCTGGCTGTCTTCCTCCTCTGTCATGGAAGGGTGTGGGCTGCTTCCTAAGAGAGACCAGCACACAGCATGCTTCACAGGACAACTCCTTTTTCTACAGAGCACTCACTCACGCTCTCATGTGTTTAGCTTCTTTCAAGGATCCCCTTCAGCAGCACTGAAGGAAGCCACAACTAGTCGCTTCCTCACACTGTACCACACACACACACAGAGGCACATTCCCCAAACCTCTTCCACTGCCTGCCCTCAAACGTCCCCAGGAAATGAAAGAGCCCCAAAGAGAGGAAAAGCAATCCCTGGAACTCAAAGTCTGTTTTATTTGACACCATCAAGTAACAAACCATTCCACCAGTCAATGAGCTCACTAGGCTCCATGCTCTCCCTACCCCTCTCTGTTCTTGCTTCCCAAACACCTTCTTACCAGCACTAAGGTCCCCTCCGCTACGTCCAACTTCTCCATGCAAGAGCATGCTCTTAGGAGGCATCTTTGTGTTAAAAGCTGTTTGGATGTTATCCACAAACGTCTTGCAGTGAGGGCTGTCCACCCAGATGCGCTCCCCAAGGGAGTCCTCAATGTAAACCTGCAGAAGAGATCACAAACCATGCTCAAGCCTATTATTTTTACTGATTAATCAAAGGAGTACTTGTGAGCTTTCCCAGTTTTTATTTACTTCTAATATACAGCTGCAAAGTAGGAAATCAGCATAGCCACTGCATGAAGGGAAAACAGATCAGATGACTGCAAGAAAGCCACATAAGAGCAAAAAGATCCCAACCATCACAACCCAAATTCTACAGGCACCAACCCTCTCAAGCAACACAGCTGATTAACCCTTAGCAAAGATTTTACAGCTTCTACAGCCAGAATATAGAAGCTGGTCTTTCAAAAGCTTAGCCTTTTTAATTAATGGGCTGGTTTAATCCCTACAGACAAATTAGAAGACCCTGTGACACTTGTATTTCCCAGCCCTGGTTGGTTTTACCCAGTCTGCCCACCACTGCCTCAGCCCAGCAGAAGCACCCTTGGTTCAATAACCTTGACAAAGATCTCCGGCCAGTTCTCATCCTCTTCATAAGCTGCCATCAGAAGGTTGCAGGCCAAGACAGACACGAGGCTGTTCCCTTTGGCTTTGAAATTGATGGAAGCATCTCTTCGGAGCAGACTGCACAGTGCCTGGAATACCATCCACAAAACTAAAGTAATAATCAAGCCCTCTAGCAAGAAAGCATACAGAAAAGCTTTACAAAGAGAAATACAAATTGCAGCAGCTTGCCACAGATATACAGTATTTTAAAGACATGCAGATTAAGCTTTGACCTGAGGGATACTAAACTGTGCTGCAATGATACGTCAGCTTAAGAGGCACAGCCCTCACCTCAATAACCCCTTCAGTGGCAAAGATGTTTGGCTTGATTTTGGCCAGGTACATGAGGCTCAGGTACAGCGTGGTATCAGGTTTGGCTCTGTTCATCTTCAGCTGCTTCACTGCTCCGCACAGCACCCCCTCAATACGGTCATCATTGCCTTCTGCCTCTGCTGCCTCAATTTCATCCAGCAGCACCGTGGGGACAACTGCAATCACCAACACACAGGCATCAGCATTTACCTTCAATAACTCACCCTGAGATGCTGGCAGGGACAGTCACCAGGAAAGCAGAGCACGAACCAGCTCAACTTTAGCCTCTACAATGGCTCTTCCCAAACCCAATTGCTATGAAAAGCTCTGATTCACACTTGACAATGCCCCTTGGTTGTTATCCAGTTGGTTCGTGCTAGCATGCTCCTCTGCAAAGGTCCCTAACAGCAGAGAATGGAATGGCAATTCAAAAAAGCAAGCCCCATTCAGATCCAGACACTGTGTATCAATAAAACACCACAATGCACACTCAAAGACATCCTCAGAGAGCCTTTTGATGCTGCCATTAAACACCTATCAGGCAGGACAGTGAGCACAAGTGAATGCCAACAGGAGAAGAGACAAAACTGCGACCTCAGGCCTACATCCAGCACGGGAAACCCTTAAGGGCAGCACACAAAGCCAGTGTGTGGGCTTCAAGAAAGGCTCCTGGGCTGAAGCAGTAGGGAAAGGAAAAATCGCACCCCCGACCTGCTTGCGTCGGCAGCAGCACCCTGAGGCCTCACCTTCGATGGGGATGACAGACGGCTCCTTGATGGACGGTGAAATGGCTCTCTTCTCTGCCACGGCCGCCTCTGCCAGGCGTCCCAGGGCGCTGAGGGGCGGCGTGGAGGACAGCTTGGGCCGCTTGGTCAAGCCGGTCAGCCCCGCCGGGCCCGCTAAAGCGGCGGCCGCGTCCCGCTTGCGCTCGGAGGGCAGCCCGGGGGGCGCCGACTTCAGCAGGGTGACGGCGGCTTTGCCCTCGCTGCTCTGCCCCTTGGAGCCCAGCGCGATGAAGTCTCCCGGCGGCGGGTGCGCTGCAAGGGGACACGGAGCAGACGTGACAGTGCCGGACACCGCAGAACAGCGGTGCCTCCCTCCCGCCGCCCTCCTCCCCGGCCCGGCAGGACTCACCGGAGGGCTTGGGCACGGTGCTGGGCCGCCGCACGGCAGCAGCCTTGGGACGGTTCATGATGATACCGCCGCCGCCGAGGGGCCCCGATGCGGCCGCCGCTACCGGAAGCGGAACTTCCCTTCCTGCCCCCGCCCGGAGGTGGAGGCGAGAGACTCTCGCTCCGCCCCTCGCCCCGCGGGACAGCGCCGCCAGGCGGGCTGGAGGGGGAACTGCACCCAGGGGTGCGTGAGATGGGAGAGCACTGGGGGTCTCGGGGGGGGGTTTTGGGAGAGGGACTGGGATTGGGGGTGAGGGGGGGGGGGGTTGATGACACTGACCAAGGGGCTGGAATCAGGGGCTGGAAGTGGGGCAGTGGGATGTGGAGCTGCAACTGGGGAGCTTAGGTTAGGGATGAGATTGAGCAGCTGAGGTTTAGGGGATGAGAGGATTTAGTTCAGATAAAACTGGGGGTGATCAAAGCTACTGGCTGCCCCCCCGCATCCCGCCCCATTCCCTCATCCCATTCCCATGTCATGCTCCGAGGACAAGTTCTCCACGTGTCTTTATTGCAGCAGGGACCGCAGGCACGCACACCACCCATGGGAACCAGGAGGGGGGGACATGGTGGCCGAGCCTCCCCTCCAAGGCTCCCCATCCCCAGCCGTGCTGGGAGGGCCATGGCAGGATGTGACAGTCCCCACCACCTCCTCCATAGCAGCATCCCTGCTTCAAGGGCTGGAGCACCGAGCATCTTCCAGTGATGACTAGGTGGGGGTGACCCCCAGCCCCCTGCTCACAGCCACTGCAGGGAGAAGCCCTGGTTGAGGCTAAGACCGAGATCACTCACAGTGAGAACCTGCGGGAGGAGAGGAAACATTTTGGGGTACAGCCTCAGCCTGGGGATGTGGAGCATCCTGTCCCCTTCCCAGCCTGCCTGAGCTCCGCTCCCCCTGAACACTGACATGGCAGGAGAGCCACCTGGTCAGCCACTAACCCTGCCTGTGCCCTTGGGACTAGAAGAGGAGGGATGGGGCTTCCCCAGGACAGGGCACCCTGAGATGCAGCCATACCTGGTTGTCCAGGTAGGAGAAAGGCTTCTCCTGGCCATTCAGGAGGACCTTGCTGGGTGGTTCTCGCACCCCAAAGATGCTCAGTGTGCCAATGGTGACTCCAGTGGCCTCAGCGCTGGCATGGAGGACAGTGGAGGTGAAGATGCTCTGCAGGAGGGGACAGCATGAGCTCAAGGTCCTGGGTACCATCAGACCCCCTTACCCTCCCCACTGCATCCCACCTGCGTGACATTGAACACCACATAGGAGTAGCTGCCCCGCTCGAAGGTGTCCAGGCTCTCTCCATCATCCCAGAAGAGGTCCCCCCAAGCAGTATCACTGGACGACATGGCCACGATGAGGCTCAGGGGGTTCCTTCGGGTTGCCTCGCTGGTGGTCCCTGGTTTCTGGGGGTCAAAGACATGGGTGCTGTAGGGCTGCGAGCGCATGGGATGGGGGTCTGGGAGCTGAGGTGCAGGGGGGACACACACACGCTGTGGAGAGCTCTGGGGAGGTGATGGATGGGTGCTTACCTGGGTGGGCAGGATGGCACCCTCCCGGATGTGCAGGTTGAGGTGATCCAGGGGGGCTGACATCTTCACCATCTCCCCACTGCTGTTCATTGAGGAGCCCTGGGCAGGCAGCAAGAGATACAGGTATGAGGGGGTCAGGAGCACAACACAGGGCTTTGGGCATGGGTCTGGGATGGAACAACCATCCCCACCCCTTCCTCCATTAGGGCTTGCTGGGCTCAGCTGTGGCTTCCCATCAACAGACCCGAGATGGTCAAGCGGGGACCATCCAACCCCAGCCGAGCGCCGCGGTGCTCCTCACCGTGTAGAAGTCGTACCACGTGCCTCGGGGGACATAACCTGTGACTGAGTCCACCCCAGGATCCAGCACCGGTGTCACCAGCAGGCTCCTGCCCCACAGGAACTGCCTGTCCAGCCCCAAGGTGGTCACATCCTGGGGGAACCTGTGGCGGGATGGAGATGCCGCTTGGATCAGCCACTTCACCATGATCCAGTGTCTTCCCAGCTCCCGGTGGGGATGCTCTTACTCAAAGAACAAGGGCCGGGCGACAGTGTCCCCTTGCAGGTGGGCACGGTGGAAAAGGGTGTAGAGGAAGGGCAGGAGGGAGTAGCGTGTCAGCAGCACATCCTTCATGGCCGTCCTAGCTGCAGGGCTGAACACCGTTGGGTCCTGGGCCTGGGGGAGACAAGGAGAGTCATCCCCATCCCCAGCCTCGCCAGGCATCCCCGCTGCCCCTGACCTGCATCCCACATCCTCCATCCCCCATCCCGCATCTCACCCATGGGATGCCTCCCACTGACCTTCTCGTTCTGGGTGTTGTGGTTGCGAGCGAAGGGGTAGAAGGCACCGAGCTGCATCCAGCGAGTGCACAGCTCCTCCGAAGTGCTGCCAGAGAAGCCGCAGATGTCCGCCCCGACCAGAGGGATGCCGAAGAGGCTGAAGCTCAGCAGCCCTGAGGGCAGGGACAGGGAGTTTCCAAGGTGTCTCTGAGCAAACAGGAAGCTTGATGGAGCTGGGGGTGCTGGTAGGGAGGACCTGCGTGCTGTGCCACCCACCTGGGATGGAGTAATACATGTCCTTCCACTGGCTCCGGTTGTCACCCAGCCAGTGCCCCGAGTACCGGCCCTGGCTGGGGAAGGTGGAGCGGGAGATGATGAAGGGGCGCTTCCCCTGGATCTGGATCAAGGCGCTGGGAAACCACAGGGAGGGACAGAGGCAGGAGGTGAGAGCAGCCCCCTCACCTTAACCCGTAATAGAGGAGGTAGAGGTCAGCACCATGGCAGCCCTGCAGTGCTAGAGGGCTGGCCAGAATACGGCGAAGGCTCAGCACCAGGACCAGCTTCATCCCTCATATGGAATGTCAGCTTCCCTCCTCTGCTGGGTTATCCCATCCTAGAGGCTGGCAGCAGCCACAGCATTTGCCCTTTTGGTCAGGCACTCAAATCCCCATGTTTTCCCTACGCAGCTGTGAGCAGCAGGATTTCATCCCATCCCCAGGCCAGCAGGAAGCGGGATGCTTCGGTACCTCACTGTGGCTTTGGCTTCCATCAGCCCATAGAGGTTGTGGAGGTTGTAGTGCACTGAGGCTTTCTGCTTTGCTGAGGCACAGACTGTCTTTGCAGAGAGGGAATCGCCCAACACGGCTGTCAGGAGGGAGAGATGCTGTCAGCACATGGGGAGAGGGCTGCAGGGGATGCAGATCCCCCTGCCCTGCTTGCTGGCTTTGGGGCATCCTTCCCACCACTGCCAACCACTGTCAAACCGGCACCAAATGGTCCTATCCTGGTCCCCCACATGGCCTGACAAGCGTTCAAGGGCTGGGTGTGGATACTGGCACATGGAAGTAGGGATGGAGACATGCAGTGTGTGAAACAGGATGTGATGTCTCTTAAAAATGGTTTTTCCCTATCACACCCAGTTGCCAGTCATCTCCAAGCACACAGTACCTACCAGCACAGCCTTGTATTTCATCTCCTTCCTTACCTGGTGTGTAGGGTGGGCTGTCGAGCTCTCCTGATGGGCAGCCTTCTTCAGACCCATCCATGAAGTTGGACGGCTCATTCATGTCCTGAGCAAAGAAAACAGTGGAACGATTTCAAGGGGGAAGTTTTGGGGATTCATGGATAGAGTGGAAAGACTGCATTTGAAAGGAACAGATGGTGTGAGCACAGCTGCTGGCAGGGAGTGACATGGGGGCAAAGAGGGACTTACGATCCAGAGGCCGTCGAAGGGTACATGGGCATGGAAGCGCTGCAGGTTCTCCAGCCACCACTGGTGTGTGTCCGGGTTGGAGAAGTCTGCGAAGGCAGTGAAGCCAGGCCAGACCTGTGGGGACATCACAAAATGATGGCTTCAGTGAGCAAGTGGTTTGTGGGGTACCACCAGATGGAACAGGGGTGTGAGCACGCTGGAAGAACCAGGGGTGAAACAGGCAACAAACCCAGTCTGACTACTTTGAGTCCTGGATGCTGCACGCACAGCATCCCTCCTGCCTCTGTGGTACCCTGGAGCATCGGGATGCTGAGGACACCCCAGCGTCTGGTGGGCAGTGGCAACTGATAGAGCAGCTTCTCTGCCTCCTCTTGCACAAGCCCTGACACCACCTAGCCCAGGGCATGCCATGGAGAGGCCATGATTTCTCTACACTTTGCTTCACTTGAGGAAATTTAGCTGATTCATTTTTCCCCTCATTTTCAGGCTATGTTAAAACCCTTCTCCTTGTAGATAGCAAGGGAAAACTGGTGGGAGCAAATGGCAAAGGGGGATACTGCGGAGCAGATCCAAAGGCACGTGCCCATCACAGACAACCTCCCCTTAGCCCAGAAGCAGGAAGGGACAGAAATCAGATGACCAGATTGGGCAGAACTGCCAGCTCCATTAGGCTCATATGACATCCACGGGCTGCTCTGCTGGGGCAGGGGCTGGCTCCCGAGGGTGCTGGAGATGCCAGGAGGTGACACCCAGGGGTGAGAGCTGAGCCAAGCCCTGGCAATCATCCCGGAGAGGTCTTTCCCTGCAGCGTGAGGGATGAAACCCCAGCCCTGCTATTGCTCAATGCCACAGGGCTGGGATTTCCCTCCAGAGCTCCTCACCTGCCCGATGAGCGTCTGCCCTTGGGTGGTGTTGAGGAACAAGCCCCGCCGCAAGCCTTCATCGAATGGCCAGTAGGAGCCGTTGGGGTTGGTGCTGCTGATGCCGGGATCCTGGGGATGGAGCAGAGCGTTAGTGCCGTTCCTGGCAGGCCATAGCCTCTTCCTCATGCCAGACTGCTGTGATTCAGAGAAGAGGAGGACCCAGACAGGGTCAGCCAGAGCTCACACACAGTGGCTGTTTCCCCCAAGGGGAACAGAAACTTGCTTCAACACATCTAAAGCACCGCTTCTGCAAGTCCCCAGGACCCATCAGGGTGTTTTAGGAAGGGGGGGACAAATTCAAGTAAAGCCTTGTGCTTATGCAAGAAATGTCATGTCACAGATGGGCTTGGGATACAAGGGGGAGTTCAACAGGGAGGGAACACAACCTTTCCCTTCCCAGGACCCCCAGCAAGCAGAACCAGTACCCCCTTTCCCTGTGGAGGGAAGAAGGGAGACCACAGCCAGGTCATGAGATCCCAGCACTCATGCGGATGTGAGCACCACGAGTTAGACAGCCTGACCCACAGTTCCTCCATCCTTTCACCCATGGGGATAGGGGCATCCCTGTGCTCCCACAGCAGAAAGGAGCACAACACAATAACCTGACCCGTGTCTCTGTGGCCCATGCATGGGGGGATTTTCCAGTGGCAGTTCCAGTAGGATAAAAATCCCTGGGGGTGGAGATGACCACGACCCTCCCTTATGGCTCTATATCACATCCTGGCTCTGCAGCCAGAACAGCACAGGGGGAGAGGAGGAGGAGTACCAAGATCATAACATAGTGCTGCCCATGTTTGTGCAGGTCTTCCACCAGCGACGGGAGGGAGGCAAACTTCTGGGAATCCAAGGTGAAATCCCGGTACCGGTCCATGTAATCGATGTCATTCCACTGCGCATCCTGCGGGACAGAGGCTCAGGGATGGGTCACGGAGCCTGGAACCCCCCCCCTGCATAGGTCTGAGGAGCTACCTGAGGGATCTGGTAGTTCCTCATGGCTCTCACGGTCTGCCAGGTCTCATTGCTGGATCCATAACCCCAGCGGCAGAGGTGGAAGCCGAGTGCCCAAAAGGGAGGCATGGCTGGGAAACCTGCAGTGGGAAAGCAGGAGCACGGATGGGGTGTCCCAAGAGAACAGCAGCATCTCAAAAGGATGGGAAGGGAAGGGGAGATGGGGGAAAGGAGGGGACTGCTGACCCCTCCCTAACTGGGAGGGCTGGGGACAGTGGTGAAGCTGGGGTGAGATGGAAATGGGGCATGGGGAATGTGCCAGCAAATGGCCACATTGGATGCAGGCACTTACCTATCACCTGCTGGTACTGCTGGATGACCATATTGGGATCGGGCCCCAGGAAGATGTAAAAATCCAGCACCCCCCCGATGGTCCTCCAGGTCAGGCCTGGTGCGGGTTGCAGGGCCACCTCTTTGGTGAGGGGAAGAGAATAAGACAGTGACAACTGGGGAGCAATCCCCAGACCCTGACCCCCCATGGCAGGAACCAGTCAGCACCACAGGCAATGGAACACAGAAATCCCTGCCTTGCGCTTAGCGGATGCTAAATGGGCATCTGGAGGCTTAAATCATCACTGGCTTACACTGGGAGGTTGCTAACTTAGAAATCTGCTATTTAAGCCTAAAGCTGCACCATTCTCCCAGCTTCCACTTAAAAACCAAGCACATGCAGGGCTCACTTTCACATCCTCCTGCAAACCCCCCTCCTTAGTGAATCAAGAGCTACTTGTACAGGTGAGCAGGTGGGAGCAAAGGCTTTCTTAGAAGGAAAAGGAGAGGGCCCTCAAACGTCAGCTCAGGTGGCTGCATCTCGCAGGAGCTCCTGCGGTGGAGCATCCCTGCACTACAGCGAGCCCAGCTGGAGCTATGAGAGATGCAGTGTCACAGCGTCAACCCAGCTGGCTGCAAGTGTCACTGCCGGGGGGGACACGGGTGGTTGGCCATGCCATTCCCAACACAGCAGGAGCCCGCATGAGCTGCTGTGTTACCAGCTGGCAGATCCCACAGCTGGGAACAGCGCGGGTGGCAGATGGCATCACCGGCTGCGCCCTGTGCCACACTGCCAGGCCTAGGGGCAAGGGTGTCATGGGTGGAGGGGGAACGGGCACAGACCCACACAAAAGGGACTTGCTTTCCTGATGGCAACTTGGCAGCTGGGTGTGTGGTTAAACTGCTCGGCAGTTGCTAAAGAGCCTCGCTGTAGCCAGGAAACAGATGGCGATGCTCAATAACGGAGCTATCAAACCACATCTTTCCCGTTCATGGCTTCCTCTCGCCCCAAGTTCCCAAACCGGCCGCTCCAGCATCTCTCCCATGTGGCCCCATCTGCCAGGGACAAGCTGGTCTGGAATGTCCCAGATCACCTACCCATTGCGTTGCTGTTGAGGAGGAAAACCCCGTGAGCATCTCCACCTTCCTCCATCAGCAGGTAGAAGGGGTGAGCACCATACAGGTTGAATGATTCCTGCAAAGAGGAGGTGATGGGTGAGAGAGAGCAGCTCTGGGGCAAAACAGGAGATCCCCTATGTCACCAGGGATGAATGAATGGCCCCAAGTCGCATCTGCTGCCCATAGAGGACAAGGCGAAGGATAAGGATGGTTTCAGACCTGGTAGGATGCTTCTTTCTCACAGCTTTGGGGCTGATAGCGAGCTGAGCTGGGCGAGGGAGAAACCTGCCTCATCACAACATGTTGCATGAGCAGCAGGGTGGAGCAGAAAGCACTTGAAGTGCCAAGAGCATTTTGCAACTGCACTGAAATCCTCCTGGTACGTGTCTGCCCGCCAGCCAGCCCTGAGCACCCCCTGATGTGCTTTCCCAGGGTGGTAGAGAGTGGTACCCCCTTTCCTCACCCCCTGCATCCCCATGGGGAGGGGGGAGACGGTACCGTGGGGGACACATCGCGGGCCCACAGCGTGAGGGTGCTCCAGTCCATGCTGTGCAGGAGGGGGCCGCGGTGCTCCCCCAGCCCATAGAGGAACTTTGATGGGAGCGATGTGGATATCTGGAGAAACTGGTCAGCGAAGATCAATGGGGCCACAGTGGTGTTGAGCCTGCCGGGGTGATATGGAGAGAGAGAGAAGGTCAAGAGGGGAGATGAAGGGTGGCCATGAGGGTTAGAGGTGGCAGCTATACAGTGTGGGGCCACTGTGAGGAGGCAGATGAGGGGTGGATGTGACTGGTGATTGTGAGTGGGCAGCCATAAGGAGAGATCAGTTTGCCCTTAGTGACATGGTTTAGTGGTGGGCTTGACAGTCCTCGGGTAATGGTTGGGCTCGATGACCTTAAAGGTCTTTTCCAACCTAGTTAATTCTATGATTCTAAGAGAGGATCCTGGGATCCATTGGGATCCACTTGCCCATCAACAATTGACCCTTTTGCTCTTGAAGCATCCCAAGGGTCAGTGCAGCACCACATCCAGCCCCAACACATTGGCCCAGGCAGCAAATTCGGGTCTGACCGGACATGAGGCACAGCCCGAGGCTGAATCAGCCTGACCCAGCATGTCACGGCCTTTCCTTTGACACCAGAAGTGTCCACTCAGGTTACTGTTAACCATCAATGGTGGTGGGCTTTCTCAGCCTGCTGCTGCTGATAAGCACCTCTCAAGGATGACAACAGGCACCAGCAAACAGGAAGGAGGAAAGGATGGGATCCCAAAACACTCTGGCCATGCATTGACCAGCTGTTGGTGCTCACCAACAGCTCAGGGTGGGCAAAGCTTTGGAGGTGACTGAGCAGTGCAGCAAAGCGGTCCTTTTGCACAGAAAGCTTGGAGCTGTGTGTGTGTCCCTATTGCTTGGACAGCCAGGGAAACCCAAGAACAGGGTGAAACAGGCAAAGCCACAACACTCTTGTGGCCCTTTCCCTGAGCCACCAGGTCCCTTATTGGTGATGTGCTGTGACCTGCACAAGGGCTGCTGCAGGACATGGAGAGGAATTAGGGCACTGGGAGGTTTTTGGATGGGAGCTGATCCCACCCAGTCTTGCCACAGCCACAGCAAGAGCGTGGCCAGCCTATGGGGGCATAAGCCTCATGCTGCATGGAAAGATGAACACAAAGAGTAATTATTGGCTGGAGATCTTGTAGCGTGGCAATTCCCTCTGGGAATGACGCTGGAGCATGCCTATGGTGGGATGAGCTTCCTCCCACCCATTGCAGGATGCAGAGGAGGTAGGTTCTTACAGCACCACCCCTGTCGCTCTGCGCCGCAGCACCACCCCAAAGGGATCCCAGGAGAAGTCCAGGCTGTAGATGGGATTTTCTGCTTTCTTCATTGCCCGGGGAACCTCGAGAGGAACCTCGTACCGTGGGTTGGCCGCATCCGTTATCTGCAAAACGGAGAAAACGTGTTTTACAGACCAGCACAGCAAGAGGGCAGAGGGTTGGAGATGCTCATTGGCCACATACATGTGTCTGGAGCACAGTGTATCTTGCAGACTCTGTCTGAGCAGGGTCAGCTATGGAATGGAGGGATACAGCAGAGAATCCAGCCAGAGGCTCACCTTGATGTGCAGCCTCGTGTCCGTCTCAAGCTCCACATCCAGCCTCAGCATCTCGATGTCCCGGGGGTAATAGGCCTTCTCCCGCCGCACCAGCAACCCCACCATGCCCAGCGCTGTCTGATTGAGGCTCTCCAGGGTGTAGCTGGGGAAGTCAGGGGGGTAGAAGCACCAGGGCACCCCTTGCTTGCCCCCCGCTGGAGGTGAGCTCTCGATGAAGCAGCACCCTCGGCTCTCACAGAGCTGCTGTGTCACCACCACGCGCCGCTCCGGGTAGCAGTCAAAGCGGTGGCTTTCGGGTACCAGGAGACACTTGGGGGGCAGCGTGGGTCGGGGCCAGCCCACTGATACCTGCTGCAGTACCCAGACGGTGATGGCACTCAGCAGCACGGCGGCCACCAGCAGCCCGCTGCCCACCCAGCACGGGGCCAGCTTCCCATGGCCGGTGGGCGCTGGGGCAGCCCCTTCCTCCTCCAGCTGGCATGTTGATGGCTGTGTCAGCTTCTGGTATGACTTCATCGTGCTGGTGCTGGAGCAAGGGGGAGAAGGAGGCAAACATGTAGGAGATGGAATAGGGATGCTCACCGAGCCTCAAGGACGGCTTTCCCATTCCCAGTACCTGTGGTTCAGGCAGAGCCTGCCCACCTCGGCACCCTGCACCGTGATGGCTCTGCCCTTGGCTAAGATACGTGCAGCAAACTTGGCAAAAGATGGCTTTGCCAGGGTCTGGTGGGCCTGACCCTTCTGGAATGTGGGGAGATGCTGCCCTATGCCTCTGACAGCCCCAAGGAACAAGGCAGCATCTGGCCTCTCAGCTTTTCCCCAGGTCTGAATTTATGGGCTACAGCGTTTCTGGAAGCTGCAAGCAAAACCGAGCTCTGTTTGCACATGGGAACAGAGCTGTGGTGCTGGGAGCTGCAGCTCTGAGGTGCAGAGCATCCTCTGCCGTCGCCCAAAGCCCTGAGTCAGAGCTTTTAGCCCCAGGAAGGGCTGGGTGAGGGATGACAAGAAATATGCAGTCAGCCTTTGCCTCCCACTGACAGACCTGATTTTTACAACCTCTTAGGCAAACATCTCCTAGACCGTAAGCAAAGGAGACCCCCGCGCTTCTGCTGAGTGCAGGGCACAACCTCAGCACCTTAAATACGAGACACAACTTTCTTCTCTGCATCTCCCTCCCAAGCCATAAGCACACAGACCCTGCACACCTCCTCCGCAAAACGGCTCTCTCCAAAAGGCAGATTTTATTCCCCGGCATCACAATGGCTCAACCTGCCACGGCCTGGCTCCGAAGCCTTATGCAAGCGCCGGTCACTTCCCCACACCAAGGGGTAGGATGCGAACCGCGGGGTCCTCGGCGTGCCACCAGCCCATGGCCCCATGCTCATGCGATGCTACCCCGCAGCCGCGGCACGCACTATGGGGACCGGGACACCGCCAGCCCTGCCCGGGGAAGGCAGCGCGGTCCGGGCCCCCCCTGTCCCGGCTGCCCGATCCCCGCTCCGGCCTCGCCAGGCGCTTACATACACGTGTCTCCTCTTGACATTGTGGCTCCGGGCGGGCAGCGGGCAGCGGGCAGAGCTCTCGGCCGCCGCAGCAATGCCTGCTCCGCCGTAAAAACCCTACGAGACGCCCGGTCCTACCGCTCCTCTCTAGTAGCTGCGCCTCCACACACGCCTTCCAGGGACGCTTGCCAGCCGCTTGCTTGCTCCTCTGGTCTGTGCGCTTTGTATTTGTGTGTTTTAATACATATATATCTACACGAGGTGCAGGTTATGGGAGGTGAGTGATCGTTTAGATTTTTCCCAGCCTGGATGCACTCAGGGTCATAGAATCATAGAATAGCTTGGTTTGGAAGGGACATTCAAAGGTCATCTGGTCCAACCCCCTGCAATGAGCAGGGACATCTTCACATAGATCAGGTTACTCAGAAACGAATCCAGCCTGGTCCTGAATGTCTGCAGGGCTGGTGCATCCACCACCTCCCTGGACAACCTGTGCCGGTGTTTTAACACACTCATTATAAAGAATCTCTTCCTCACATCCAGCCTTTTAGCTTAAACCATCTCCCCTCATCCTATTGCAACAGGCCCTGCTAAAACGTCTCTCCCATCCTTCTCATAGGCCCAATTTAAGAACTGAAAGGCTGCAATAACGTCTCCCTGGAGTCTTCTCCAGGCTGAACAACCCCATCTCTCTCAGCTTTTCCTCATAGGAGAAGTGCTCCATTCCTCTGATCATTTCTGTGGCCCTCCTCTGGACCCATTCCAACAGGTACATATCTTCCTGTCCTGAGGACTCCAGAGCTGTATGCAGTACTCCAGGGTCTCAAAACCAGGAGTATTAGTGTCCCTTTTCATGGTAAGAACACTTCACCCGAAACAGCCTGAAAGAGGTGCCTGTGCTGAATCCAGCACCATGGTTTCAAGGAACTGTGATGCTGGATGTGCTTTGAGCACACAGGTGGGCTACACCCAAAACAAAGCCATTTTGCCATCCAGGTTTTCACCAGAGGCCCTTTTTCCTATGCACTCCTGTTCATCCTTAAGTGTCCATAACTGCAGGAAAGCCCAGGCTTTCACACTCTCAGGGGACTGGAGAGCTCTTCGTTGTTTGCTATGAAGGCCATTGCAGTTTAAAGGTCAGCAGCAAAGGACAGCAGACCTTTGGAGCAGAGTTGCTTTCCACGGGGAATTAAAACGGAAAGTAAGAGCTGTTGAGAACAGGGCGATTCACCCAGAAACAGGATTTCAGGCTACACAACATCCCCCCCTGCCATGCCATATGCGACCTGGCAAACCCATGCTGTTGCAAAGACCACAGAAAATACCTCGGTTGTGGTGAGCTCCATGCATGGGTCTGTCACCACAGAAGGTAACACCCCACCCAGGATACAGCCAGCCCATCCCTCCTGCTTAGGGGACCATCATTGCAGGGATGTCACAGAGAGAAACCTTGGATGATGCAGGGTGGCTCCATCCACTGCTTGTTATGCCCACCACAGGGGCACATGGCCGTGCTGGGGACATTGGTGGCCCAAGGCTCCCACCACCAGCATCCTGCTCCTTGCTTGTCTTGACTCTCTGAGCCACCAGGACATAAATGAGATCTGGAGACAAACCTCAGAGGCAACAATGGGGACCATGGGGATGGTTGAAATCTGCCCTCCAACCCCAAGCTCACCCTGTCGCAGCGCCCAGGGCAGGTTTTCAGCCAGAGTCTGCAGCTCAAGGAGAGGTGGAGGCCAATGCTGTTGTAGTCACACTGGGTGGAAGATTCATGCCACCACCTGGGAGCTTTAACCACCCTCATTACTCTGGTTCCAATAAGAAATAGAGGTTTCTTAACAGCAGGGAGGTGCATCTGCCACATGCAGCCATGGGGCCGTGCCAGATGTGGGGCTGCCCATGTTTCACAGCCAGGGTTGTGCAAAGGGAGCAGTGAAAGACAGGATCTTACTCAAAGCCTCAAGTATGGCCCTTAGATCTCCTCAGACGAGGTTATTTGTCCCTGAGGCTGGAAAGCACAAATTGCATGGGGCAGACGCAGACCTTCTAATAGAGTTATGAGCATGGAAAAATGAAAGGGAGCCCAGTTTCGATGGAGACAGCTGGGTTTGGGCAACCACTGGGTTATTACGTGTTTTTGGATGTGTTTTCATCATTACTGGATGCTCCCAGGATCCAACACGCCTGGGATCGCTGGGGTCAGGGTGCTCTGTTAGGAGCTCTTGCAATTGCACAGGGAAAGAGCAAGAGCTGGGTGTGGAATCTGGCTCCAGGTCAGGATCTGGCCCTGCTACAGTGCTCACGGGCTCTGGGACCCAGCCAGGGGAGGATGAGCCCTCTGGTGTGAGGGTGCAGAATGCTCTGGGGCTGGTCTGGGCTGGAGGGAGCCTGGCGGTTGCGGGGGCGAGTAGATGGGGACACACGCACTGGGTTGCGGTGCTTGGCATTGCACACCTAGGTAATGGGGGGACACACACACCCCCCTACACACATACATACACACACATGGCCATGGTGCTCGGCACTGCACACCCTGGTTGCAGGGACACACACACACATGCATACATACATATAAACATACATACACATACACAGAAAACACCAGGTCAGGGTGCTCGGCGCTGGAAACCCCGGTTGTAGGGAGACACAGTGTCTCACACACACACATGAATACATATATACGTACACAGATACATACACACACACACAAAACACCAGGTCATGGTGCTCGGCGCTGCACCCCCTTGTAGGGGCATGCCCCCTTGTAGGGACACACACACAGACATATACATATATACATACATGCACACATATACATACATACATATTCACACACACATATACACATGTACACATACATACATATACATACCTACACACACATATACATACATGCATATTCACATACACATATATACACATATGCATGTACACATACATATACATACACACACATACATGCATAGTCACATACACATATACACATGCATGTACACATACACATACATACAAACACATATATATACATGCATATTCACACACACATATATACACACACATGCATATATATTTACATACACACATACACATATACGTACATATTAACACACATTGACACATATACATACACACATATACATACATATTCACACACACATACATATTCACACACATACACGCATATACATGTTCACAAACACATATATATACACATACGCATGTACACATACATATACATACATACACACACATGCATATATATTCACATACACACATACACATATATGTACATATTAACACACACATTGAAACATATACATACACACACATATACATACATATTCACACACACACATACATATTCACGCACATACACGCATATACATACATATTCACGCACACATACATACATACATACACACATACATACATACACACATACATACATACACACATACATACATACATACATACATAAACACGTATGCTCGCACACACACAGGGTCACGGTGCTCGGCGCTGCGCACCCCGGTATGTGTGCGCTGGGAGGTAGTCACGTGACGCTGCCACTCCACCCCGCTCCCCGCGCCCTTCCCCATGAATGAACCGCGCCGGGAGGGGGGCGTGGCCTCGGGGGTGGTGACGCTCCGGTGGCGGGGCGGGGCCTGGCGGGGTGACGCGCGGCGTGACGCGCCATGCCGGAAGCGGCGGGGGCGCTGGTTGGTCGGCGGCGCGGCGGGGGGGAGGGGGCCGCCCCGCGCTTGTTGTTGTCCGCGGGACTCGCTGGCAGGGACGGAGGGAGCCGCGCAGCGCCCCCGCCACCGGCCCCGCTGCCCCCCGCAGCCGATACCCGCCACGGGCGCGCGCGCGCCTTCCCGCCGGCGCGCAGGTGAGGAGGAGCCGCCCGGGCGCGGCGGGGTTGTGGGGGGGGGGGTCGGTTGGAGCTGGGCGGGGATGTGAAGGGAGACGCGGGAGGGGAGGGGGGGGTTGGTCTGTGCGCTGCCGGTGACTGAGGTGGGGTGTGCGGGGGGGGGTGGTGGTGTGAGGTGAGGGGCAGCGGCTCGGCACGGTCCGGTCGGGTCCGGTTGGGCGCGGCGGGCGGGGCGGCTGAGGTAAAAGTGCTGAGTCACCAGCGCGCCGGGCACGTGGTGCCGCCGCCCCTCGCACCGGGCCGAGACGAGCCGGGCGGCGCGCACGTGTGCCCCGGCGGGGAAGGGGAGCGCTCGGCTTGGCCGCACCGTGGAGAGGCGGCGGCGGCGGCGGAGGGGGCTCGGCGGGACCCGCGGTCACACCTACCCCAACCCAGCGTCCCGCCCGCGGGACGGGCCCGGCGGGTGCCGCCGCACCGCGAGGTCCCTTCGGGAGGGGCCGCGCCTGGGCGCTGCTTTCCTCTTGTTGTTGTTGTTGTTGTTCCCCCTCCCCTCGAGGCTGAGCGCGCTGCCTCTGGCTTTGAATGGCTCTTAAAATACATGAGGAAACCTGTTGTGACGCTGCGCGCTCCGGGCTCTAAAAATAGCTGCTTTTGTAGTACGGAGGGAGCAGCCGGTGCCGGGCAGCGTGGCGGCGGCGTGCGGCGGGCACCGGGCGTGGCGGCCGCCTCGCAGGGCTGCCCTCTTGTCCCCGGAGACCCCGCTCCCGGTCCCCTGGGCTGCGAGCCGCGGGGTGGGTTTGGGATGGAACGCGGAGAGGAGCGTGGTGGGATCGGGTTGGTCCCGGAGCTTGTCGGAGCGGGGTGTGTGTGTGTGCGGGGCGGGGGGGGAAGGTCAGCAAACGGGGTGCTCGGCAGCCACGCAGGGATGGGCAGTGGGAGGGAAGGGGACGGTGACATTGTGGGTGCCTGGTGGCCGTCTGGTGGGCGCCGGATGGTTTGAGGGTTTAGTCAGTGATAGGGTGGGTGGGGGAACCTCGTCCGGGCTCCCTATGAAGGCAGTGGTATAAGGTGGGGAAGCAAACGGGTCGGGAGTGAGGGGAACCGAGATCTCAGTGTGTCAGGGTCTGTTTCCTTCCTCCTCCTCTTCCTCAGGCTGAGAGCCCGCTCCCTTCCCTCGTGGGCTGCTCCGCGGAGGGTTTCTCTTACAGATTGCGCTGAAAGCAGGCCATGAGGTCTCAAATTGGGAACGAGCCCCCTTTGGGCACAGTTGTTACAGAAAAGGGAAAGGCCTCCATTTTCACTTTCACCTGGCACCCACCTCCTTTGCTATCCTAGTCCCGAAGCTCAGCCGAGGGTGGGGAGAGGGAACTGGTGAGAGGAAAGTGTTTCCCGGGAAAGCTGCACGCCTTTTTCCTGCACTTCCAGTCCACACAAGCCCTGTCCGTGGGGAAGCACAGCGCTGTGCCCCAGCCCAGGCGGGGTTTTAGCAGCACATGGGTTTACCTTGTGGGGCTTTTCTCTCACTGCTGAAACGGGCGCGTGTTGGTCCGGTTTTCCCCCCTCTCCTTCCGTGTGTACTCGGTGCTGCCTTTGGAGAAGCCTTCCTCGTGCAGTCACTTCCTAGAGGTGATGGACGTCATGGTTGCCCAATGGCAGCGCGCTCGGCTGCGCGGCACCCGAGTTAACTCTGCTCCTACCCGCTGGAGGTGCTGAATAGGGGGGGTCCAGCAGCAACGGGGTGATCGCTGCAAGGTTGGGGCACGCCATGACTCTTGCCTCCAAGACACCCTGCCTGCTTGTGCAGGCTCTGAGCCTTTGGGCTTTGTACCACAGCAGCGTTAAACGTTGCTGGTTGTATTGTGCCCTGCTTCGCAAGTGTTTCTGAACCAGAGGCAGAGATGTGTTAGCTCTCTTTTTGTTTGCCTGTCAAGGCTAGCGTGCTTTGTCATGTTTTATGTCATTTCTGCGCCGTCACCCGTCTCGGCAATCTGTTGCGGCAAGGAGTTCAGTACCGCTGTGTGCCTCCTGAAAGGGAAAAATACAGATCAGCTTGATACGGTCTTATTTCCATCAGTGTTTGGAAGATGATTAATCGTGTGGAATGCGCTGCAGAACTTGGTATTGGAAATCTCTAGCTGTGTGAGATGTCTGGGAAGCGAAGAAAGGACAGCTGGGAGCGCTGGCCCCCGCGGCAGTTGGGGTTTGTGGGATAAGCTTGCTCACTGATCATTTCTGTAAACATCCAGCTGTGAAGTACTTGAGCGGTGCTAGCACTTTCAATTATCAGGAAGTTTCAGGCTCAGCACCCTGTAGAGATGAGCAGGCAGTTTCCACTTCTGTCTGAGCTATTGTTTCAGGCTGCCTTCAAGGGCAAGCGATAGAGTGCTCTGTGACCATCAACACAAGAAATGGGGGGGGTGCGTGTGCAGTAGTGAGAATGATTACCCTCCCGCTAAGCTCAGGAGCAGAGGGACAGGTTGCATAGCGAGTCACACTGCTTTGCAGTATTGCAGGACCCTGAATAGCGATGTGCTGTGTTCCATTTTTAGCAGCTGATGAAGATGTCCAACTCGATGGCTGGCACGTGGGGTCAGGAGCAGTGTAGCTAGGAATCCCAATCACGGCTCTGCCCCAGGATCTGGCTGCGCATCCGAGCAAGTTATTTGTTGCTCAATGACTTAGCTTGGCTGTCCGGGGAGGTGCATCTCTGGGCTAGTGATGCTGAGGCACAATTCTGGTGTAGCTCTGTCACTGTGTTTTGCAAGCACGTGATGGAAAAAGTGCTGTGTGCTTGTCAGTACCAGGGCTCGCTGCTGCATACCTTTCCCTTTCAGCCACCTCCTTGGTGGGGTTTCTGAGGTGACACGCAAGCATGCCCTCCTGGCACCCCGTATCCTCTGCTGCCTGGCCATAGGCTCTCTGCAGCATCTAACTAGGTTGTTTACCAAACCACTGAAGGCTGGCTGATACGTGTCCAGGCTTCCCCAGAGAGCACCAGCTCTCAAATGTGCTCTGAAGGTTCCTGAATCTCCACTTTGCTGTTGGATGCTGGTTCCGATCCATAAGGGAAACGGAAAGCTGGCCAGCTGGGCGAGGGCTGCATGGAGCTCCTCTAGAACAGTAAACAGTGACTCACCCCCTCCTTGTGTCTTCTCTCCCTTCATGTCAAATATATTGCCTCGCATATGCTTCTACTCTCTGATTCACACCATCAGCCCGTCCCTCCCCGCTCTCATTACAAATGACTGACAAGCGTCAGTCTGCTTTACAGGATGTGTGAAGATTGTCAGAGCAGGAGAATGGCTTCTTGAATGATAGGGAGAAGGATGGTGCTCTGCCTACCATGCTGCAGCATGCTGGAAATCCGTGTCATGCCTCTGAGCAGCAGAGGCACGGCCACGAAGATTTAAGCATCTCTGGTTCCCTTCACCTGTCAGCTCAGATGTTATCCTTGGTAGGCACTTCCATTTGGGTAGCGCTTTGGAGCTGGGAATAACTTGTGAATAGATGAGAAATGTAACTAAAATAGCTGCCTGGGGATTAAATCACTGCATTTGGGAGTGAGTAAAGTATTCTCTGTGTAACTGCGCTCAGTGGCAGAGATCCCCATTGCTGCTTGAACCTCACGCTGTTTTTCTGCCCTCTGGAAGTCATCACTGGCCTGGCTGGAAGCGACGGTTGCATGTTCTCACTTTGCTGTATGTGTCTGAGGATGGAAGCTGAACACCGGCAGGGCTGCCTGCCAGGCTCTCATGTTCTGGCCAGGGTTGTCTTTCAGTGTAGAATGAGTTTTAAGGTTCGAGTTCATCCGCAGTTGTCGGGTGTCAGCAGTGACTTGATAGTAATTCCTTAATACACAACGCGCTTTGAAAGCCCTGTAGCGTGGAAAGTCTGAAATCTCATTCTGGCATGTTTTCTTCCTTAATTGCAAGCCTGGTGTGGAAAGCACCATCCTACCTCTGCCCGAGCCAGGCTTTCTGCTCTCTTCCCCTTTCAAAGCGAAGGAATGGCGATCCCTATAGATGGTCCAAGCTGAGACCGTCAGGCTTGGGATGTCAGCCAGAGACCTCCAGGTTTTTGGGAGGATGCTGCAAGAGGCTGAGGAATCGACTGAGAGAGGGAGAGGGCGTTGGCAAGGCTGTCAATGGGTAACTTTATTGCAGAATTACAAGGGCGCTTTATGTAACACGCAGTCAAAACACTTGCCTAAATACAAGTGTGAGCTGCGCTGGAAAAGCCTTTGCCCCTTAACAGTTGTATTACTACTCGCTGCTTTATTTATGTAGCGTTTGAAACGTGTCGTACCGCTTACAGAGCAGCGATGTAATGCAGTCCTTGTTCCAAAAAAGCTGAGCTCCTAATTTTAGACGTGATGCAGCAAACGCAATTAAGGAAAGAAGGGCAGGCATAGGGTAAAGACTAAAAGGGTTCTAATAATCAAATCGCAGGCAGGGTCCCAGCAGACCCCTGTGCAGCATGTTTAGGGAACGCTGCTGGATAGGGCATGTTTGCAGGATGGTTTTTATTGTGGGGGTTTTGCCTTCTATTGGTAGGAGATGCTATGCTTATTTCAGTTGGTAGCTGAAGAGTCCCAAAGAGTCCTGATGGGAAGGATTTTGTAGGTGGAGAGATGGAGTCTGAGGCCCCGGAGGACTGTTGGTGAGGGTTGTGAGTGTTCTTGTATGGGTTTCGAGCCTGGACCATGCCTGTGGGTTCACCTAGCACAGAGATAAGACTCACCCTGGCACCTGAGCCTGTGTTTCCACTTGCAATACCAAATCCTGCCCTTACTGTCAGGGCAGACCCCAGTCTCCCACCCTTGTGTGAAGGGGGCCGAACCTTCTTGCTCATCTCTGTGCCAGCAGCAGCTCTGGTGCAATAGGATGGATCCCAGTCCATTTCAGAGGGATGCTGGCCCATCCAGGGTGCAAGCGGAGATGGGCGTGCAGCACAAGCCCGTCCACTGAGGAATGTGCAGGCTTTGACGACATGGAGCAACAGGTGACCCTAAAGGTGTTGTCACATGGAGCCAGAGCATCGCATGGGTGGCAGGCGAGCCCCCACACCGACCCCACCGGAGGCGACCTCAGCTCTTGTTTTCCATGGTATTTTACGTTTCTTTCCATCTCGGCGCAGCCAAGCGGCCCTGTTCAGTTTTTCCATCGGCTGGCTTAGAAAGCGCTTTGAAGACGCGCTGGGTGAGGATCAAAAGGGTTTTTTTTTGTGTAATTGGTGGGTGTGACGGGTCTGCCGTCGGCCTCCCCCTCCTTTTTGACTTTCCTTTTCCGGTTTTAGCAGCGCGGAGTGCCGGCAGCGTGCCCCTTTCCTTGTAGGGATGGGGGCGGCGAGGGAGGGGGGGATGCCGAGGGAAGGAAGAGTTTCTGATGCTGTGGGAATGTGAGCTCTCAAACTCTGTAAACAGCTGGTGACTCACTGCATAACTATGGCACCAACTGCCTGCGCGGCTGCAGGGAGGGGGCTGCCGGCCGTTTCCTCTACGCACTGGCAGCGCCTCTGCTCTCCTGAACTCGCCGGGACCGTTGGGCTGAGACCAGGAGCTTTTTCCTTCCTCCTCCGTGCTAGCGCCTGCGTCCGCGCCTCCGGCCTGGAGGTAGGGGTGGGTGGCCATGGCCTGGTGTGGAGGGGTCACAATGGGGTCTGAAGGAGATCCTGCCAGCGGTCAGCCCTCGTGCAAAACACTCAGTGGGTCGGGCGCATCCGTGTCCCTCGGGGCTGGGACTTGGTCCCCTATGGCCCCGGTGAGGCAGGGGCTGTTGGAGGTGTGCCCGGGGTGGGGTTCGGTGCTGGAGGAGAGGAGGGAAGGACTCGGTGATGCTCTAGAAAATGCAGCGCACACCAGTTGCTGTAAGTGGTCCATTCATCACGGAGCATCTTGGCTTGTGTGCTGTGCGGCTGTCCTTGTCCCTCCTCCAGACATGGAGAGCTGTGCTGTCTCGGGCTTAAAAATAGAGAAGGCGCCTAAATACACTCCTTAATATCTAGGATATTATCTCACAGCTTTGCACTTAGGGGATTGGTTTTTTTTCTTTCTCTCCCCCCTCCTTGCTCTTCATCTTGATCTTTACGTAAGTCGTGTGATGATGAGGTGTCTCGACTGATAAAGCTCAAGTGACAGCGGCGCAGGCTGAGCCAGCACCTTTACCCACACGGCTCCCACTGGTCCCCAGCCCCACCTTTGCCCCCTCCCCAAATCCCGCCGCCCCCTGTTTGCAGATATGAATGAGTTTGTTTACTCTCCGACGACCTCGTGATGTCTTTGCACAGACATGACCTGAAGTCATTATTGCTTTTGGGCTTCTCTGTTTCCATGGCGACTGTCTCTGGGTTGGCTACTTTCCCAAGGTCACCATGGCAACTATCAGAAGGGAATCATGCTTGGGATGCTTTGGCTGGATTTTTCATGAATGATTAGGATGTGTGACACGATGCAGACGTGGAAATGGGGAGGGTTTGGGCTGGGCTGGAGAAGGAAGGAGGGGGGAAGAGGACTCCCGCCAGACAGGCTGCGCGCTCTGCGGTGCCGCTTGGGTGTGCATTGGGGGGGGGTCCGGTGCCTTGTGCTCTCCCCGCTGGGGAGCCATAGGCAGAGGCTGTGATGGTGGCACGGCTGCGGTCGCCTCTCTTGCAGTAGGTAGGTGCCGTCACCACGGGGTGAAGGTTTCCGGTGGAGGTGCGGGCAGGTGGGGTTTCTGCAAGGTGCTGGTCGAAGGGGTGTAGCCTCTTGCTAAGGTGAGAGTGAAGGGCAGTGTCTCGGTGTCTCGCTGTCGGTGGACATGCCTCCATGTCACTAGGAACACCAGGCAGGTCAGCTCTCGCAGCCTGGCGCTGAGAGGATCGGGAAGGAACAGTCTTGGTGCGTTGGGAGAGGCGAACTCCTGCCTTTGCTTTGTTATCGGGGGGGGGGCTTTTGTTTCTGTTGTTTGGGTTTTCTGGTGGCGTCTCCTTTGGGTGGGGACGGCGCTGGAAGCAGGTTGCAAACCAGGCAGCTTCTTTCTGGGTTGCTGATTCAATTTCGAGCTGGGTTAATAATAATCAAAATAAGAATGAAGGGAGTTGTTGTCTTGTGGCTTTTCAGTGCCTTTTATGAGCGGAGGTAACTCTTAATTCAATCCCTAATAGGCCATTCCGAGCGTCTGGGATTCCTCTGGAGGGAGGTGAGCGAGTGACTGGGCCTGGGAGGCCACACCGTGCATTTCCCTTGAGAAGGGATGGCATATTGGAAGGTGGTGCATGGTGGTTAGCCTAACTGCTGTTTACAGACAGGAGCTGGTGTACTTTTCCCCCTCCCTGCCCTGTCCTTCCTTCTTAATCTTAGTGTAGTTAATAACAAAATACGAGGTCTCAGCATCAAAAAGCAGTGCACTTGTCAGCACAGATTTCTCTTTCTTGTATCTGAATGGGGTAAACTCATCTCTGAATCCATCCAGGTGTTCTAAACAACTGTGCGGTTATTGCTTTTAATGGTGGTTGAGTTGGGGGCTTCCACCATGCGTTGGGTGTCTTCTTCCTGCCTTCACCTGTGACATTCATTATTGTAACCTGAAAATCTTCTTTTGTTTTTCCAGTTGCAATTTCTGAGCAGTTTTGTCCGGAAGACTGTGCTCAGGTTATGACGACTAATCCCAAACCGAACAAGGCGTTAAAGGTAGGGAAGAAGGCTGAGTGGGTGCTGCTGGGTGGCGGGGGAGGCTGTCACAGAACCATGCTTCGTGCAATATCAGTTATGCATGACTGTTCTCTTTCATTCTGAGAGACTCTTGCAAACAGGTGCTCATACAGTTTCCTACTGTCTACAGGAAAAGTTAGGGTAGAAGGATACTGGTGATACCCAGAAAGATGTCTGAAATCTCTGGGATGCCATAGAGGTATCCCAGTTGCTATCTAAGAGACTTTTGACTTAGCAGGTGTTGGCAGCATCCTGAAACCAGTGCTCCCAGGCCTGTCAATGAAGTCCTTCTCCTCTCAGGACTGGAAAGCACCGGGGAAAGGATTTGTTCAGCTGGTGTCTCTCACATCCATGAGACAGTAGATGCCTCAGACATACCAGCTTAGTGGCAGTCTATGCATGGGTTGTACGTGCATTGTCACAGTTCTTTTCTCCTGCCCTGGCATTTCAATCCAGATGTTCTGCAGTCTCTGAAGAGACAAAAGGATGATGTCTTAAAGGTTCTGCACTCAATGATCTTAAAGGTCTTTTCTAATCTAAATGATTCCATGATTCTTAAAAGAATTGTGGCAGCAAACCTGCTTGAGAAAAAGGCACAAGGCCTTGGTATCTTTCTCATGTACTTCAGAGTCTGGCCTGTGCAGCAGGAGAACCAAATCAGGCTGTGGTCCTGCGGTCGAAGCAGGGGTTTGTTCATTACTTGAATGAGCAGTCTTCAGCAAAAAGCCACCTTGCATATAAGCGGCTAATTCTGCTTTTGAGATGCTGCACCGGTGTCCCAGCATAATGCTGGGAAGAGGTGTCATCTTTAGCATTCATAGTATGAATTCTGAGTCCTGACAAAGGAATACAGAAGGCTTCAGTCTGCTTGACATTTATCTCCTTAGGAATCTTACTGTTCAGCTTACACTGGGTGAGGAAGGCTCGCTGCTTTCTCTGACTTAAGAGGGTTACCCAAATCCAGCCGAGAAAGCAGTGCTCAGATCTCTGCAGATGTTTTAGTGGAATACGTGCTCTCTGCAGTGCTTTGGGGATGTTTCCCAGGTGTGGCTGTCACATTGCTGAGGGGTGGCCTGTCTCTCTTTTACTGTCCAGAGCATCCGTTCACGTAGGGTTGCTGCTACCCCTGTGCTGTTGGTATTTGCAGGTAAAGGAGGAGTCAGGAGAGAATGCCCCAGTGCTGAGTGATGATGAACTCGTGTCAATGTCCGTACGGGAGCTGAACCAGCACCTGAGGGGTCTCACCAAAGAGGAGGTCATCCGTCTGAAGCAGCGGAGGCGCACGCTGAAGAACCGGGGCTACGCTGCCAGCTGCCGCATCAAGCGCGTGACTCAGAAAGAGGAGCTGGAGAGGCAGCGGGTTGAGCTGCAGCAAGAGGTGGAGAAGCTGGCCAGAGAAAACAGCAGCATGAAGCTCGAGCTGGATGCCTTGCGCTCCAAGTACGAAGCACTCCAGACCTTTGCTCGTACTGTGGCGCGAGGGCCCATCACCCCGACCAAAGTTGCCACCACCAGTGTCATCACCATCGTGAAATCAGCCGAAATCTCATCCAGTTCTGTGCCGTTCTCAGCAGCGTCCTAGTGCCCTCGGTGGGGGGGAACTAGCAGCCTTTCAGAAGGGAGGGGATAAGGCTCTTATGCATTGTTCCGGAGTACTTGGTCACGTCAAGAATTGGCATTTTAACAGTTCTCTTCCAAAAGTGCAAAAAATAGGAGAAGAAAACAAAACCAAGAAAACGAAAACCCCACCCCAAACCTGCAAAGGGAACTTAACTGGCTGCTTCTGTCTGGACTCGGTGGCTCCATCAACCTCCTGTGTCCAGGATTTGAGCTCTGTACGCAGAACAAATAACAAGATCTGCTTCCTCCTTACCCCTGCCTCCCCCAAGCCCCTCTCAGCTGTGGGCAGCCTTCCAGCTGCAAGAAGATACCTGAGGAGCCTCCGGAGTCTTTGTGAATGATGCTCAAGAGCCAGGAAACAGATGGACTGTAGAAATAATCATGTGAGATGAATGTATGGAAAAAAAAAAAAGAGTTTCCTATTGTGGCATCCTACTCCCTGTACGAAGGGTTTCCCCCTATCTTCCCCGCTTCCACCTGATACTATGAGGGCAGGGATATAGGCTTTTTGGATTAGATTTCATCCTGCTATGAGTGGATGGGAGCAGGAGGACGATGGAGACTAATGCTTGGGTCTGACCACACCCATTAGGAATAACCTTTCGTTTTTCAATCCATGCTGTTAAAATATGGGAATATACATATATTTTACATATTTTAATATGCCCCATTACCTGTGTGGCCTGTAAAAAAAAAAACAAAACACAACTACATTGCAGCCTCCTTTCTTCCAAGCCCAGGTTTCCCTATAGCTCCTTCCCTAAGGTGTGCCTGTGAATTGGGTATATTTATGCAGTTTATTTCTTCCAAATGATCCGCAGTCTTGAAGTAGCAGCTGCTTTATTATTTTTTTCTGGATTCCCTGAAGCTGACAAGGGAAGGAGGCACAGTAAATGCTGTGAAGAGCAGTGTGAAGGGGAGGAGAAGGGGAGATGAGGAGGAAGGATGCTGCAAGTATTACCAGGTGGAGGCAGAACTGGCTGCGAGAAGGTGGGACAGTTCTGCTGGGATCAGCACTATGAGAAGGGGTTTGTGCAGAGGTATTTCAGAGGGATGTTTTTAAAGCACTGAAGTGTAACTAAAGGGCAATAGCATTCAGACAGGAGGAGAGAGAGCTTCCAGAGCCTCCTCTTTGACAAAAGCATTGGCAGGTTAGCAATGAGCATCCTAGCTGGAGAGCTGGGCTCGCCAGTCTTTGACCAGAGAAGGGCTGTGGGGAGGTTGGATGGGAGCTGGAAGAGTCTTTTCCTCTCCAGAGCACGTCAGGCGCTGAAGTTGGGATCCAAAGAGTACAGTGAACAACCTTCAGCGTTCAGACAACCTGTGTGAACGTGACCCTGAAACTTGACGCTTTCTCTTGCCAATGGGTGGATTATCCCGAGAGGACAGGATGGAAAACCAGTGTGTATGTAGGGGACAGAAGAATTGGGATCGAGAAGTTGGTTGGATGGCTCTGAGCAGTGGTTTGGGAGAGGGATTTCTGGCTCGGCAATGGGCAGGAGGTGGGAAGCTGAAAGGAGCTGAAAACATGAATGTTTCCAGGTCACTGTAAAAAACAAAATAGCTATGTTGGTGTTCATGTGTTCTGTTGTTGTTCGTTTGTTTTCCTTTTTGAAGTAGGAAAGAAAAGGGACTGTGAGTTTTTGCAGGGCAGGTCAGAGACTTGTGCAACGGACGATGCCTGTTGTCACGCAGGTGAGAAGAGAATGAGATGTTGAAGTTTAAAGAGGAGGAGAAGAGCTTAGAGGGTTTGGGCTCCAGAACAGAAAGCAAAGATCACGGAGAATCCAGGAGTGTTTTGGACTGAAAGAGAATAATCAAGTGCCGCCGTTGTTGCGAAGGGGACAGCGAACTGGCACCTGACACCCGGTATAATTTGTTGTTTGAGGCCTTGAATAGCAGTAGGTTTGTAGACATTTACTGAAGCCCTACTTGTCTTTGGAAGAAGTTGTTAGCTTGCTTTTCCTTTTTTTTATGATTTTATTTCGTTTTTCACCTTGTCATCGGAGGCTCTGGATTTCCCAGGAGGGTCCTTTGTGAAATAGGTTAATGAAAAGAGAAACCTCAGTCTTGGTTCTCATTCAGTCCTCAACATCGACAGCCGTGACCTTACTGAGCCAGAAAGGGTGTAAGTGAAACGCTTCCCGAAGGCTCGTTACCCCTGCCAGATCCGTGTGTTATGGAGGGGAGCAGGGAGTTTCCTTCAAAGTGATTTTCCAACACGTAGAGTTTGGATGATACTTAGCGTTACCTCATTTCTCCTCCACTCCCTCCCTATCTCCGAACAGGCAGATCGATGCCCTGTGTATCAGTACCAGTTATTGACTCCCACAGCAGAAGCTGAGGAAGAGAAAGATGTTACTGTCATTTCCTGGTCCTCTCATGTTCTCCAGCTCACAGACATTGGAATCTTTCCCAGACCTTACAGGTGCCTCCGAAAACAGGCAAAATGGAGACTCCTGGCACTGTTGGGGCTTTAAATGAAAACTCTAATGTAAAAGGCCAGTTGACTTGAAAACGCCCAAATGCTTCCAGTCTTTCAAACAGCTCCAGAGCTCCATGACATTCCTGGCTAGATAGGAACACCCTCTGGCTGCTCTCGAGCCCTGCGCCGGGGCAACTTGGAGGTCGACCTTGGTTCTGTGGGGTCTTCTTGCTGTTGGAATGGGTTGAGAAACATATCTTTACGTGGCACATCCCTTGTGGCCAAGTGTTTCTTTTATTTCCAGTTCTTGGAAGGAAGGGTGCCAAAGGCTTGTCCAAGTGATTGCTAGTTTAGTGCTGGTAGGCACTTCAATCTCTGGTCACTCGCTAAAGAACAAGAGGCCTGGGTGTTGTTAAAGCTGTTGATACCATAGCCATGGTAGGTAATCCATATTGGATATCCATAAGGACCACGTGGAAATATTTAAAAGAGAGAGAAATATATATATAAATATATAATTATATACATTTTATCGTACAGATTTTTTCGTAAAAAAAAAAGAAAAAAAATTAATTTTTTTTCCAAGTTTGATACTGTAAATCTTTATTAAAAAGAAATTGCCAGTCCAGGGCTCCCTGGGTGGTGACCTGGAGGGGAATGAAATGTCCTGGCTAAAACTTCCACAGAGGGATCAGAATTGCAAGGTAACGTGGAGGGAGGAATGACCCGAAAGCTGTTGTGACCGCGTTGGAGACCCAGCTCCTCCACCCTGGAGGGTCCCTCCAGCTTGGGGTTGTCGCGTTGCATTCCTCTGGGGGTCGGTTTGTTTCTGTTGTGGTTTTCTTCTTTTTGCTTTATTTTTTGGGGGTTGTTTTCTTTGATTTTCTTGGGGTTCTTTTTTTTTTCCTCTCCGTCCTGCACTTGCAAGCCTGACACCCAGGGCCAGCACGGCGTGGGGAGCTGCCTGCAGCCTGTGGCATCCCCCCGGGCCGTGCCTCTCGCTTGTCTCTTTTGCTGCAGTAGTTTGGATGCTGGGGGCTCCCTTCTCTGCCCCTCTTTCATTTGTGTCACCCCCTCCCTGCCACGCTGCTGAGGAGCAGGGGTTGGATTTGAATGCTGGGATCCTCTCCCCATGGGCATGGCCTTGCTTGGGATGCTCCCCATCCGCAGCATGGGTACCAAGGGCTGGGCGGGAGGCAGGGGAAAACGGAAGCATCGGGGAGGGACATCTTTGTTCTTGTGGATGTTTGCTGTGCTCTCTATTGGGAATGGGGAACCTTTTCCCTCCAGGACAGCTCCAGATCCCTTTGAAGCAAGTCAGCGTCTCTGCTCTTGCCCAACTCCACTGTCTGCCCATGGAGACCGGGGTGACACCGGAGAAGGGATGAGGCGCTGATGGGTGAGCTGTGGCAGGGCCAAAGCCAGGCTACTGGATGGCTCAGTCCCGGGGAGGAGGAGAAGGTGGCATTTTGTTTTTTCTCTCTCAAATCATTTAAACTTCATTGTCATGATTGTTTTTATTTAAGAAAAAAAAAACACAAAAAAAAGGAAAAAAAAGAGGAAAAAAAAAAAGGAAAAAAGATACAAAACCTAAAACCTTTTGTAACGTGGATTTGTTTTCCTTCGTCTGTATTTCAGTCTGCTGGGGTGTTTCTGTAGATGGTGGATACTTGCTTTCATTTTTTTAATGATAGACGTCTTCTGTTTTCAGTTGGTTTTGTTCTGTTTTTTATCACCAGCTCATTCTATCCTCTGTGGTTACTCAGTAATTTCATTTCAATATTTATTTTTGTGCTGCTTTTTTATTATAAAATAAATTATTGATATACCAAGCAATGTGGATTCCTGTTTGTAAGGCGGATAGCCCTGTGTATGTGTCCATTACTTTCTCTTGACAGCCACAACGTAATTTATTGCTGTAAATCTAGCTGCAGTGACTGGTTTTTTTGTACCTTTCCAATAAAGCATTTTCTGGTTTCAGACTTGCCCTGGTCTATGGTCAGCGTTTTGGAGTTTGAATTGATCTTCAGTGGAGTGTTTCCCATGGGGGATTTTGCCTGTGTATCCCCATTCTGACGGTGGGCAATGTGTTTTTTAGGAGGCCTCAGCAAGTGTGATGCTGCTTGGGGTTTGGCAAGCATTGATGAGCCCGGTGTATCCCCCTTGCCCAGCTCCAGGCCTTGCCATGGTGCTTCCCTGGTGTGTTTGGAACATGCTCAAGGGATATCTTTTGTGAGTTGCTTCTCTGGTAGATCCCATGCTCAGAGCACATGGTTCTAACCCAGGCTGTGCCTCTGTGTGTGATCAGTGGGTATTTATGGTAGCACAAGTGGAGGCTGATAGCTCAGCAGGCTCCTGCCTGCAGTCATGGTGTTGAGAGCTGCATGCACAAGGGTGCTCTTGGCTAGGAGGCCCTGTGCATCCTAGATAGGTCGTGGTGCTGGAGAGACACGCTCTCCCTTGCTCCTGTGGGTTGTGAAACAATCCTTCACTGCTTTCCTATGTGTCTGCTTCTGAATAAATCACTCTAACCCCTTACATCAATATTTTGTTCGTGTTTCACCCTGTTTGGGCTATAAAGAGGTGGGACCATGTGCCCATGTGCTCTGAGGGACCATGTTAGCGTTAACCCCCTATTCCACGTGGTCAATTTTCTTTAGATGAAGGAGGTAGACAGTTGGTCTGTGCCGGCTTGAGGCAATAGTTGGAGGCAGATGGGTGTGTTGGCCAGGGTTGGAATTGGAGGTAGGGCTGAAAAGGCTTTGTGTGTCAGCGGGTAATGGATGGTCATTAGGTGGGGCCAGGCAGGCTTGGCTGAGCAGGGACCATGGTGGAGCCTGTGGAGTGATTGCAGTCACCCACAGAGCAAGAAACTCATCATCATGTGCTTCAGCTCCTGCCTAGAGGGATGGCAGCAAGGAGCTGGTGACGCTGAAGAAGAGAGGGAAATAGGCCAGTGTGTGCTGATGGAGAAGCACAATCAGCTCCAGCTCTCTCGGCTGCCATGGCATGGTGTGCCCTGATGTAAGGATACATCCTGGACACAAGCAGGCTCTAAACCTGCCTGACCCAAGCCCAAAAAGCTTGGGAGAACCATACCTGCATCCCAGCCTTGTCCTTGGGGAAAGCCCAAGAACAAGAGACAACTGGAAAACAAATCTGCCAACCACTGGAGCCTGCTGCTGGCAGGGAGCAAAGCCTGTCCCTGCCTGCCTGCTGGCATGGCTCCAGGCACAGCCGGGCTCCTGTGTAGGTCACCCGTGTGCTCACTGCCAGCTTTCCCTGTGTCCTTGCTGGAGAGATGGAGGAGATGCGTTAGCAGAGGAGCACAGGACCGTGTCTGCTGGAGAATGCATTGCTCAGCCTACAACACTGCTGGTTGTTCCTTTTCCCAGTGGATGCGTTTTGACAGCATCACGGTTTGAGGGCCCTGCCGGTGCCCAGCTCTTGCCTTGCTCCCTATCCCAAGGAAAAGGAGCAGGAGATCAAACTCCCTCCTGCTGGTGTCCAGCCCAGCATGGCTCCTTCAGGCTGGTATCACACTGCTGACTTGGATGAGCCACAGCTGGTACCCCTCCTCCTTGTTTCATTTGCACGAAGGACCTGTTTTACATATAATACAGTAATCAGGGCTTGACATAAATAGGCAAATGTTATTGTCTGCAGTGGGAATTGCACCTGCTGGCAAGAGCAATGAACGCAGCCCATTATGCACCGGAGTCGATCATTTGCGCGATGAAGTACAACTACACCTCTTGCTGTGTTCTTGTGCAAGTCTTTATCTCAGCGAGCCTGCCAACAGATGTGCTATCATCACCTTTGCAGCCTGGCCTCGCTTCTGTTCCTGCAGCTGTGGCCGGCCCTCTCCCAGGGGATGGAGGGGACCAAGATGTGATGTCCCTGCTTCAGTGCTGGCTGCATTACGAAGCCAAGCAGGCTCGTTCCTGGGCACTAAGGCTGCCCTTTGCAGGCAGGGTATTTCTTCTTCCAGGATGCCAGGTCCACGGGTGGATGCCTGGATGCACAACGCACATGGATGTAGTTGATGGACCTCATTGCAAGAGAAGTGGCAGCTGTCACCAGCTAAACAGGTATGGGGTGAGGTGCTTTGGAGCAAAGGGACTTGCAAGACTGGCTTAGTTATAAGCTGCTCGTGTGGAGTCCAGGCTTCCAGCACAATAAGGTTTCTCCAGTAACAACAAATAGATGTTGTCTTGGTGCTGGAGTCTGGGCTTGGCTAAAGCAGATCCAGCAGCTCTGAACTGCTGCATCCACAGCTTAGATGAGGGTTGGAAGAGGTGCAGTAGAAGGAGAGGAAGCAGGAGACTCACACACAAACTCTTTGTGGAGTGAAAAAGATGAGCACGAATCCTGTGGGAATGCCGAAGTGTGCAGGATGCTGCGTGTGCAGGTATTTCTGCTGGGCCAGCAGTGAGGGGCAGGGAGGACACTGAGCTTAAGAGCATCAGCATTAGAGCAGGAACAGGCAGATTGTGGCTTTGCTGAGCTAAGGGAAAACACTCTGTGGTAGAAATCGCTGTTTATTAGAAAAATTCATAAATAAAATAATTTCATGATGTGATTTGCATTTTGCAGATAAGAGGAGGTACAGGGGGGACCAAACAAATACTAGGAGTTGTATGTAAAAGAGCTTTAAGCCTTACCCATCGCTTTGCCACATGAGTGCAACTCAGGCTGTAGGCTTGCCCTTGTCCTTTCACTGCCCCCTAACAACAGCCCACCCAGTGCCTAAGGATGTTCTCAAGGATCATCTTGGACTAAAAATGGGGGGGGGGGGAAACCCCAGAGAGGCAGTTTAATGGAAGGATGCGCACTCTCCATCACTGGTATGGCAGAATCCCCCCCATGCAGTACCTTCCTCTGCCAGCGGTCCTGCCCTGAGCAGGTCCTGCCCCCAGCATCTCTGTCCCCACCACTATCACCCTGCTGTGCTCAGCTCCCTCCTGCCTTCCCCCAGGTTGGTAAATAGCGAAGGGCTGGGAGGAACAGACAGTTCCCAGTAAGTGCATTCCTACCACCACCAGTCACGGTCTGGTTCCCTAATAAAGGCTCTGATAAGGAATCTGGAATCCCTTTTAACTTCTGATCCAGGCAGAGATAAGCTGGTTTGGATATAAACAAGCGCTTCTGTCACCAGCAGCACTCCAAATGCAGCTGCAAGACCCTGTGTTAGCCCTGAATGAGGTCCTGCTGCTGCTCCCAGGGGAGTTACTCATCCAGCTGCATCCCCATCTGGAGGGAGAGGAGGATCACTTACTCTTCCTCCCTGGTAAAGGTCTGCACAACTCCATGGGCTTTTCTGGGAGGAGGAGAGGGGGAAAGATGTAAAAATAAGGAATGATGTCTTTGAAGTGTGACCGGGTTTTGAGGTGAAGTGAAGTCACCTTCCTGGGCTGGTTTTCTCCATGGGGCCCTTGGAGATTTCTTCACTCAACTCAGGAGAAACTAGAGCAAAACCGTGCTGAGAAAAGCATTTCAGCACTGGTTGGAGGTAAGAGGACGGCGAGGGCGGCTGGTCCATCCTATAGCTTGGCTTCCCTTCCTGCCTGGCATTCCCCAGCACGGGCATGGGGGCATCCCCACCAGTAGTGGGGAGCAAAGCCCAGGCTGCAACGCATGGCTGCTTAGTTGCAGGAGCAAAGATAGCCCCAATCTTAATGCCCAAAGAGATGGGACAGCAGAAACTGGCACTATTTGATTTAACCTTTCCCTGGCTTATTGCATCTTCCCTTCGAGAGACTGGCTTTTTGGGTAGAGTTCCTGGATTCTCAGTGCTCCCAATAGATGAGGTTGGCTCAGCCTTGAGACACCTCCCATTTGCGTGGGTTTAAATGTACCCAGTGTCACTGTCCCTTCTGTTGTCCCCTACAGCTCCTCATCCGACAGGATCAGCACTCTCTTCTCAATGTTTTTGCTCTTTCTGCTGCTCGGTCCATCCACCTTGGAGGCCACGTGCCCATTCTCTCCTGGTGCTTTGCGCTCTGCCTCCTGCATTGACTGCTGGGTGTACTGCTGGTACGTGGGTGAGAAGTTGTGGATTGCATCCTGGACGATGTCCTGGGGGCTTATGGTCTCCTTGAGCCCACTGGAGATGCTCTGCATTGGAGCAAGGTTTGCTGAAAAACAGGGAGAAAGGGGGGGAGATGGGACATCAGACACTCATGAGCCCAAGTGCTCCAAGACTGGAGTGACACTTTTCCATAGTAATTCAAGATAAGGGGTTCATTGTGGTCCATGTCAGCTTGCAGTGGCAAGTTCCAAGGAGAAGGAAGGCAACCCCAGCTCTGTGTCTAACCGGATGGATCCTCTCAGCAGCATGGGCTGTAATACCAAAATCCCCTAATTCTGCCCATCCACATCAAGGTCTCTCTTCCTATGCACTTACTCATGGGTGTAATGAGGGAATAAGAAGGAACTCGTGGAGCACAGGAGAAGGAAACTGCTCTTGTGGTTTTAGCATCCCATTGGTAATGCTATAAGGGGGATCTCTTTAGTCACTGTCAAAGAAAGGAAGAAGGAAAAGTTACCTGTTGAGTTTTCTTTCTTCTCTCTGTACACCTGGCAGGTGAATGCATAGCGCAGGGCAATGGAGGCAAAGAACATCTCAATGCAGATGATGAAGTTCTGGTAGCCAGCAGCCACTGTCCCAGCTCCCACCTCCTTCCCATCGATGATCTGAACTTCAGGGATCACCCCACATTTCTCCAGGATTGCCAGCAGCGTCCCTGCGCAGGGGAAGAGGGATCAGCTCTGGCGCTGTATCCCTGGCTCAGATGTGGTTGTGGGATGAGAAGCACTGCGCATCTGTGGTGGTACCCACCTTGCCAAAAGGAGAGGAAGATGACTGCCTTGATGGTGATGAACTTGAGGACTGGCTCAAACGGGCGCAGCAGGTCCATGGTGGCAAAATAGAAGAGGAAAAGGGCGTAAAGTGCCAGGCTGACAGAGAAGTTGTAGAT